CATCTATCCATACTCACAAACTTTCGCGTTTATAATATTACTAGCTGTTCCCGCGACATCGTCCGCGTGGAATTTATTTTTATACTTTTTTTTCTAAAATAATAAATAAATCTAAAATAAAAGTAGCCTAGTTACTCCTTATTACATCATCATCATCATCATCATCATCGCAGCTACAGAACATAGGCCTCCCCAAAGATCTCCACGACGATCTTATTACATCAGCTACCTGCCAATAAAAGTCCCGTTAAAATCGGTCCAGCCATTTTAGAGATTAGCCGGAATAAACAGACCAACAGACAGACAGACAATAATTATAAAAAATATTATTTTGATATATGTACCGTATATATATTCATATGTATGTAGTAAAAAACGGTTATTTCAATATTACAAACAGACACTCCAATTTTATTTATATGTATAGATGTACATATTAATATTAATGAATGGAATCTATCCATCCTGTACAGTATCAGTGTCGTTATCATATATACATATTTTGTTGTATTCTTATCTTATCATATAATAAGATATTATCCGGATGTAATTACCGGCAATCATTTTCACCTGATTATTAATATCAGGATTAGAATATAGAGCTCATTAGAATAATTATTGAACCGGGTACGGGTCGTCGTACTGGATAGAAAGAATTATGCCGCGTAGTAATTATCCTCATCAACTGCTTCTTCCTTATCCCATTTATTTGATCGTCGTAATATGTTTTTCGCTTCCGATTACGATGATGCAGGATGTAAATGTATTAGTTTGAACCTATCAGTACCTAATGGAGCGAATAAATTAAGACGAACAAAATAATTTTTAGTTCTTTAGGCTACTTTTATTTTAGAAAAATAAAGTTAAATACCACGCGGACGAAGTCGCGGACACAGCTAGTTATTCATAAAAAAATTGTCTCTACTCATCATCATCTGCTTCTTCCTTATCCCATTTATTTGTGGTCGTCGTAATATGTTTTTCTCTTCCATTCATCCCTGTTCGCAGTCATCTCGTTATTTACTCCCTTTCTCACCATATCATCTTTCACACAGTCCATCCATCTCTTTTTCGGTCTTCCTCTACCCTTATAACCATCCACATTCATATGTAACATCGTCCTTAGGATATGATCTTCATTCCTACGCATTACATGCCCATACCACGATAGACGATTACTCTTTAACCTCTCCGACAGGGGGGAAAGAGATTGTTAGCAATGAGAACTAGCGTCTCCTATTGCTAGCAATGTACCATGTTAGGTCGACCTCCACGCGGTTCTCCCTGGAAACCATCGTGAAGAATTCTTGGTGAATTTGTCACGATGGGCTAACTGACCTGACCTCATGCTCTTGTCATCCTCCACTGGTGCCCCTGCAGCTGCAGTTGTCATGTCATTGCGTTCCCGAGGTAATCCTTGAGCTGCAGCTATCATGTCATTGAGTTCTCGAAGTAGTCCTCGAGCTGCAGTTGTCATATCTCAGTTTCGATAACTTTACTGCCATATCTCACCAATTGTACCACAGCTTATAAAACAAGCTACTCGGCTTGGTTGGTACGTCTTCTAGTCGGCACTTGAAATATGTAAGACTAGTTGTACGGCCGACTTCATCCGTGTGGAATTTCACTTGTAAAATCTTTTCCAATATAAAAGTAGCCTAAATTACTTGCCAAGTCCCGTCAAAATGGCTCCAGCCATTTCAGAGATTAGCCGGAACAAACAGACAGACAGACAGACAAAAATTGTAAAGTGTTAATTTTGGTTAAATTGTAAAGTGGTTATTTCAATATTACAAACAGACACTCCAATTTTATTTATATGTATAGATTGAGCTATCTGAGCAGATGACTTTATATTTAAGTCTACCTAAGTAATATTGAGTGCATTAATTAATCTTCAATTTATTATGATTATTCTCTGCAATACACTACATTACACTTACTATCAGGTAGGCAATATAATAAAATATACGTCAATGCGTCATTTTTGTTATCACCAAATATATGTTTTATTTTGTTTATTTATTTACTCTTTATTGCACCAGAAGTATATTACAAAGTACATAATCTAAATATATATAACTCAAAGGTGACTGACTGAGTGACATAGTGATCTATCAACGCACAGCCCAAACCACTGGACGGATCGGGCTGAAATTTGTCATGCAGATAGATGTTATGACGTAGACATCCGCTAAGAAAGGATTTTGATTAAGTCTACCCCCAAGGGGATAAAATAGGGGATGAAACTTTGTCACTTTTAAACCGATCGGGCTGAGACTTTGCTACGACTATAAATTCAAAAATCATTTATTCATGTAGGACATTTTAGCCGCTTATGAACGTCAAGTTTTTACATTAGAATTTTTTTTTCCTACCGTCTATAATAATAAATATATAATAAATCTACTACGACTTAGGCATCCCCTCAAGGATTTTGATAAATTCCACCCCTAAGGGGATAAATTAATGCGAGCGAAGCCGCGGCCAAAAGCTAGTAAGTAATAAGGCACAAAAGAAGCTCTTATCGCGTAAGCAATCTCTTCCAGATAACCTTTGGGTAGAGGAGAGAAGATGGAAAGTGGTAGATGGCGCAGGAATGGTAAAGTTACAGTAACAATTAATGAAAATAGGTAGATGTTTGAACAGCCGTCTTTTATTGCAGAGCGCAGTGACAGAAGTATAATAAAATAAAAATTATTTAAAGAACATCATATTTTGAATATGGATAAAAAGAATATAAAAACTGCCAGTGACTCTCATTGTAGGTCTAATAGTTACCTATAACTATTAACTTAAATAAATTCGCGTTAGTAGAGCTATTCAGAAATATTTCCTTTAAATTTTTATTCAAAATTACAATAGCATATGCTGTTTGTTATAACTATATTCTCACTTAATTGAAATTTAAATGAATCTGTATTTTTGTAACGTGTACAAGCTTATTTGAAAAGAATAAGAGTTGAGTTTCTTGTCAGTTCTTCTCATCTCGAAAGCACTCCGACCTGATAGTAGATGTGACATATCATAAATCTGTGATAGATCTAAATGATGATTTGATTTGAATCACTTACAATTCGACAGCGACTTCAGCGCCACACGGTCTAACGCGGGATTAAGGTAAAACTGGTACAAGCGATTTTTCTAGCGTTTTGCATTGAAAGGGCTTATTTTTTATCTATAGATAATAGATATACTAGCTGTCCCGGCAAACGTTGTTTTGCCTTAAAATAAAAAAAAATTAGAGGTGGACTACCCTTAACATTTAGGGGGATGAAAAATAGATGTTGGCCGATTCTCAGACCTACTCAATACACTCACAAAATTTCATGAGAATCGGTCAAGCCGTTTCGGAGGAGTATGGGAACGAAAACTGTGACACGAGAATTTTATATATAAGATAATGCTGTTGACTGCTGCTGGCCTTTACAGCTTCACTGAACAATAGAGCACGAGTGCAGATGGCACTCCAAACTTGCGGAAGTACTTATGAGCGGTTGAAGGCCAACACTTATAATTTGTTTATCTCATTGCTTTCTTGATTCAATTATTTTAGAAATATGAAAGCGTAGCGGTTTTTGTATTGATTGCCGCATGCATTCTTATGTGAAATGTGAATACTATAAACATCAGATTACAATTGTGAGTAGCTATGACGTGGTCTGGTGTTTTGAGTAGTCATGCTCATTAAAATGTCCAGACTTGTGGCGGCGTGGTGGGCCGGGTCATTGGGCTCCCTAAAATATGGTCGAGCGCAGTGGTGGCTGGCTCATCCGTCATACTCGTGAACGGGTGCTGCTTGTGTGGACTGGTCTGCTCTAATCAGTATGACTTATTTTCTCTTATTAATTGTTTAACCAGTTGTTGTATATTGAATGTTTTTTTTCTATTTTATTATTTCATTGAATTAGTGCTTATCGGTGGTTTGTATTCACACACTTAAACTTAAATTGTAAGTAAGAATAAATTATTTAAAAGAGCAACACACAAGTTTCTTGCTTGTTCTTCTTGTGATGAGACAGCATTCCGAATGAGCGGTAGATTAAAAAAAAATTTTATGACTATTCAAAAGTGCTTCAATGTAAGTTTATTTGAATAAATGATTTTCTATTCTATTCTATTCTATTCTATTCTATTCTAATCTGAGGGCACCGCTAGGGGTTCGACCTTGGCTGTCGTAATCTTTCGCGCGCATGTCCCCGCGCGCCTTCCCCAAGGATGACTGGGGAAGTGGTGGGTTCCATAGGGAACCGCAGAGATGGGGCCCGCTATAGAGTGGGCCACTGCTGTCGGAATCGCGGTGGATTGATTTTGATCCCGCGACTCCGGCACATGGGGTTGGGTGAGGGACATCTTGGAGTTTTTAGTGAGTAGGACTCTCACAGTATCCTCTTGCCTCCCCCGGGGCGAGCGGGTCTCCGTGAGGGATTTTCTCCAAGTAAAAAAAAAGCTGACGTAATCTAAGTCCCCATTTGAATTGGATCAATTAAAGGGATTTATAAGATCTCATTATCAGTCTGTACAGAATATTCTCTACTCAAATAGGCAAAGCAGATTCTTATCCACTTGTTAATTAATTAATTTATTCATTTATTTTGGGCAACTAGGTCCATATTATAAATACCTTATAGACTAACAAACATATAACATAATATTTAAAAACTAATACAATGATATTGTCTGTGTGATCACGGCACTGAAGACGGCAATCTGCCACGGTAGCGCCGATATACCACACATTTCAGTAGTCCTCTTTCATGAAGGTGGGCAGCAAGTCGGTGGGGACCAGGGGCCCAAACGCTTTGAAACTCGCGTTGTGACTCGACTTCAGCTGCGTCACCCTCAATGTCAGGTTACTCTTGGTACGAATATAATCGAAAATGTCCTGCTCTTTAGTGGCGTAATGTAGACGGGACAGGTACATTGTCGTGGTCGGTGTAGCAGCACGCAGCAGAAAGTTAATAACAACATGACAATAAATAAATATTTATTAATGCAAGTAATCTTAGGCGTAGTTAAATTTAATCTAGAGAGATTTTGTAAAGCCAATTTGATAATGCTAATCTGAGGTTTAGTGTCAGGTAGACCGCTGGATTTTCGATTCAGGTTTGCCGATGGCCTCGGCTTCATCCAACGTGTCCGGCATCTTGGTTCCGAGGGTCTCCGGCTGAGTCAGCACCAGGATCCCGGAGATCAGGCCCATTGCACCGAACATTGAGTTGGGGATGCCGTGCCAATAATTGTCAGCCTGGAATAGTACAATTTTTTAATCTTCTGTATCTTCTATATATCCTATATTGACTCCCTCAGTATCCTAAACTGCCTGACCACCGTGGTCATCAAATTCACCATGCAATTCGTAATTTTTTAATATTGTAAAACATATACAAGAGACTAATAGAAAATCACCGTTTCGGGTACTCTGTAGCTTTATGCTGAATTGGTTGTCTCGAATCCGAAACTTATGCATTTTTCTATATGTATATATCACTTACTCTACTCACTTGTGATCACATCCTACCCTTTACTCTGATTTGTATATATATAGACATTACTAACAATGTATATATATGACCAATGGAAGCTACTAAATAATAATCAAAAAACAGGGGAAATGCCTTTCTATATAATAGAAATAGATAATATTTATCAAATAATGACTTTATCAAATAAACCTATAAGCACGTTAGAATAGTCATATTTCTTTTAATTCTACCAATAATTAAGAACGTAACAAATCAATTCAACAACAACAACTCATCACAAGCAGAATGAGCAAGAAACTTGCGTGTTGCTCTAGTCTATCTATGCATTTTGACTCTACCACTCATTCTTAATGCAGACTCATCACAAGCAGAATGAGTAAGAAACTTGCATGTTGCTCTAGTTTATATATACATTTCGATTCTACCACTCATTCGGAATGCAGACTCATCACAAGCAGAATGAGCAAGAAACTTAGTTGCTACATCTATACATCTTGATTCTATCACTCATTCGGAACGTAGACTCATCACAGGCAGAATGAGCAATCAAAATGTATATCTATGCATTTTGATTCTACCACTCATTCTTAATGCAGACTCATCACAAGCAGAATGAGTAAGAAACTTACATGTTGCTCTAGTCTATCTATACATCTTGATTCTATCACTCATTCGGAACGTAGACTCATCACAGGCAGAATGAGCAAGAAACTTGCGTGTTGCTCTAGGCCATCTATACATTTTGATACTCATTTGGACGGCAGACTCATCACAAGCAGAATGAACGAGAGACTCAGAAGGCAGACTCATTACAAGCAGAATGAGCAAGAAACTTCCGTGTTGATCTATTCTATAGTATAAGATCTAAAAGGTACACTTACAAGAAGAGGTGTGAGTGGTGCTGTGATAGATCCCACCCTGCCGATCATGGAGGAGAATGCCAGGAGCGTGTGACGGTACTGAGTAGGGTACAGCTCTGAAGTGAACAGGTACAAGGATGTGAACACGATGGAGATTCCGAACTTGCCCAACAGGAAAAGGATCAGGCGCAGCGTCGTCAGTGCTGAAAGGTGACAGATTATTATTTTAAACTAGCTGTACTCGCGACTTCGTCCGCGTGGAATTTTATTTTTTTAAAGTAAAAGTAGCCTAAGTTACTCCTTATTACATCAGCTACCTGCCAAAAAAGACCCGTCATAATCGGTCCAGCCATTTCAGGGCTTAGCCATGATTATTTGTGTCTGTCTGGTTGTTTTCTATGTATAATCGAATAGATTTTATTCCGCGTACCGATTTTATTGATTTGTTTTATGATTCGTAATCTGGGTCTTAACCAGAAAGCCAGGTATTTATTGTACAAAGTTTTATCTACCTTATTAAATAATAATAATAACCCAGAGTAACTGGGGGGAAAGGGGATTGTTAGCAATGTACCATATCAGGTTGACCTCCACGCGGTTCCCTCTGGAAACCATCGTAATAAATTCTTGGTGAATGTGTCACAATGACCTAACTGACCTGACCTCATGCTCATCTTCCTCCACTGGTGCCCCGCCAGCGTAAACCGTTAACGCCAGCGGGTGCACCATTTCATTATCATCCATAAAAAAAACAGGGTAACTCGCACAGCGTCATCTAGTCCCAAACCAAGCAGAGCACTGGTGGATACTAAACTGATAAAAATACTTCACTGCATTTATTAAAAACCAATTTAAACAATCATAAAATCAAAATCCAAATAAATAAACTTTATTCTTATAGGTCTTTTACGTACTCTTATGATATGTCAATTCTACCATTCAGAGTATGTTTGAGTCAAGAAGAACTGAGAGAAGTCAGGGTGAGTCAGATGTATCTTTACCACGTTAAACGCCATGTAGGTCACCCGTGACCTCAGAGACCTGTAGAGATGTGTTGAGCGCCGGCGCGTGATTTTTTTATACATTTGTAGTACTAAAATTACCGGATCGTCACTCAACAACAGTACTACCTCGCGGCGCACGCGAATGGAAAATGTGTTTTTTGTCCCACAGCGCCACGGCGGTCATCTGGTGACCGAAATGAATTTTCTTTATTTTCTTAAAAAATTTCAATCCCAAATTAAAAAATAAATACGTTTTAACGTTTACCGATGTCAGAAAAATAATTTTTTTTCATACAAAAAAAAAATATTTTTGTCATTTTTACAATGGCGTTTAACGTGTTAAAAACAAAGTTATCTTGTGTTATTAATTGATTATGTATACAATCATTTAATAGCTCTTATCAGTCATATTAGTTAGAATAATTGGAAAGCACTGACCTTCAATGGAGTCATAAAAATATATCTACACATCTATATACCTACATATTTTAGGTGATTCAGAATTAAAAATTATATAATAAAGATAAACTGGAACTAAAACTAAATCCAGTGCAAATAAAAGCTTTTATTATGGTTACTAGACAATTCATATTAAACATTTTTTTTCACTTAATTATTGTTTCGTATTCCGAACCTCCTTAGTCTAAGCAGGTTGTATCACTGCTTGCTTACTGAAGCAAAGGGCGCTTGGTAATACTGGCCATTTATAAAAACATGTGGCCACTTAATTTTCGAAAAAAGAAAAAAAAACAATTGAAAATAAGAACTGGAATCAGAAGGACGCTCCGTATTTTTATCTATATAAAACAAGATAATTAATGATTTATTTAACGACCTCGACCTTTTGACGACCTCGGTGGTCTAGTGGTTTAGCACGCCGCTTTACGTCCGATGGTCGCGGTTTCGATTCCTCGCACGGCACAAACACTTATACACACGTCTGGGTGTTTTCTATGTATAATGTATGTATTTACGAAAAACAATATCTACGTATTTGTATCAGTTATCTAGTACCCATAACACAAGCTTTAGCTAGCTTAACTTGGGTCTAGATGGCGCTGTGTGGATAGTCCTGAGATTATTATTATTATTATTATTTAACATAATATAATTGTTTTTATGAAGATATACACTGTAGAGTGCGTGGCCACTAAACAGTACATACACATCGGGACGTTCCTGAGCAAAGGTGAATAAGTTTGGTGTTACATTGCTTACTTTGGGGTGTTCGGAGTGTGGAAGACGTTCTTCCAGGTCGAAATCTTATTTCTACTTCCTTTTCCATTAATTATTTTCTTTTCAATTAATACAGTCCACTCTCTATTTTATATATAAGGATTTGTAATCCAACATTTTTTGTATATAATATATTTAAATATATATAACTCAAAGGTGACTGACGTAGTGATCTATCAACGCACAGCCCAAACCACTGGACGGATCGGGATGAAATTTGGCATGCAGGTAGATGTTATGACATATAGACATCCGGTAAGAAAGGATTTTGATTAATTCTACCCCCAAAGGGATAAAGTAGAGGATGCAAGTTTGTACGAAACTTTGTCAATTTTAAACCAATCGGGCTGAGACTTTGCATGCATAAAGCTACTATGACGTAGGCATCCCCTAAGAAAGGATTTTGATAAATTCCACCCCTAAGGGGATAAATTGACGAGTGGGCAGGGAAGTGAAACACAACACAGCGCGAGTGTAAACACGAGTGGAAACACTTATAATATAATACTCCCTAATTGTCGGTTTTTCTGCGCGAGTCGGACTTTCACGCGGTTTTTTCTCTTTTCGCTCAGTGTATTTCCGGCAGCCGAGTAAGCCAATGTTATTTTTTTTCCTCACAGAATATAATTTGGTACGTATATAATTTGTAGTTGTTCTGGTTTCAGCAGATTATAGGGCTGTTGAAATTATAGATTTTGGTTATAGTCTTGAATTTATTGGGTAAATATTTAAATTACAATTATGGTGGAGTAAACAAAAGTACTGTAGGTGTGCTATGTTAATACACGAGATTAAATTACATCGCGTTGCACAGCGCACCTACTACACGTCCCTCCCCGGTCAGATATACGATGTAGTCCCGTATTGTCGGATTACAATCGAGATAAAATATCCTGTGTTTATATTTTGTAAACATCATGACACCACACCAGAACACGCAATATATATATTAGTAATGTGGATTGATAACCTTATATTGTCAGGTCGACCTCCACGTGGTTCCCTTGTAACCATCGTTTATTTACGATGGGCTTTATTTATTTATTTATTTATATATATATATATATATATAATTGCACATGCGTATACTACGCAAATTTATAAAATTACAGTTAACAAGTTTTTGGAAATCTGTACGATACGTATTTGTTTGTATGCGTATACGTTGCGTACTGAAAATCAGCGCATAAGTTTTTAAGTTTTCTTTTTTACTCTGTACTCTTTTTATGAATAAATGATAAATTAACAATAAACATGGATATATATATATATAATATATATGGCAATTTATTCATAGTACATTAAGTGATATCATAGACCTGCGAAAGTATGTTAGATCGATCGGTTGATTTTTGAAATCTGTACGTTACGTTACATATTTCTTTGTATGGGTCTACGTTGCGTACTGAAAATCAGCGCTATAGTGACACGCTGCGGTACCAGCTGAGTGGAAGCCTTTTCAGCAGCGAATTATTAGTTTTTAAGTTTTCTTTTTTACTCTGTACTCTTTTTATGAATAAATGATTATTATTATTATATTTAAATTGGATGGGTGTGCGCTCCAATCAGAACGCTCCTTTTGTGTTACGTTTTGTTGCTGCTTGTACGCGACGTAATTTGTAATTACGATCACGCTCTTCAAGTTCTGGGACGTGACAACTGATCAGGCCCAAGATAGTTGTATTATATCTTATTTCTTTGATAATTTTGAATACGCACTCCAGGAGTGATATATTTCGACTCATTTCAAGGGATAGAGCCCTATCTCACCATAATTATTGATTAGAAATGGAAATAGAAATAATCTTTATCCAAATAAACTCATTGCAAGCACTTTTGAATAGTCATATTTTGATTCTACCACTCATTCGGAATGCAGATTCATTACAAGAAGAATGAGCAAGAAACTTGTGTGTTGCTCTTTTGAATAGATGTTTTTTTTTATATAATAACTTGCTGTCCCGGCAAACATTGTTTCTCTGAAAAAACGTTGATAAAATATGAAGAAATTGCATGTGAAATAGTACAAACAACAATTTTATTTTCCCATACAAACTGCTGATACCTGTCAAACCCCCTCCGTTTGTCTTAAAATAAAAGAAAAAATTAAAAGTCAATTACATAATGTAATTAAAATATCATGTGAAATTAATAAAGAGATATAACATATCTTGAATACAAGCCGATATATATCATACAGAACTGATTAACAAATGAATAACTCTAACATAGGGTGAAGATCTACCCCGCTAACATTTAATGGGATGAAAAATAGATGTTGTCCGATTCTCAGACTTACTCAATACGCTCACAAAATTTCATGAGAATCGGTCAGCCGTTTCGGAGGAGTATGGGAACGAAAACTGTGACACGAGAATTTTATATATAAAATTACAGTATAACAAGTAAGAGGCATGCGATAATCAACATAGAAATCGTTACGCACTCTAATGCATCTTCATTCATCAGTCTTGATATGACAACTGTACTTAAGAGTGCCATTGGGACTTTCGTTAACTGAACCTTAACTTAACTAAGTTCCATAGTCGGGTTATTTCAGTTTACAATAGTGTATATTTTGTTATAAGTTATCGTATTTTACAGGATCTGTGTATTAGGAATGGCTATATCAATTTATTATTATCATTGTTATAAACAATGCGTATTTCTAATCATCGATAACGTTGTCAAATAACCATTTCGTCATTATTGTAAACAAATAATAATTATCTGTTCTGTATTATCTGTATCGACTAATGAATATGATAGTACTATCTATGTTAATGATGTAGAGAGGCAAAGAGAGAGAGATAGAGACGAGAATTTACGTCAGTTTGTTACAAAGAGAGTAAACTAGAGAGAGAGATAGTCAAGACTTATAATTTAATTTTGATAACAATAGATACACGAAAAACAGTTATTTTAATAAGAGAGTAAACTATGTAAAAAATTTGTTCAATTGTAGAAAAACTTAACACTTAATAACTTGTACATATACACGTACATATTGCCATCATCTCTTGAAGACATCCATAAAAGCACTATTTAAATATAATTAATTAAATATTGAAGGTATGTAGTTACATAAAATACTAAAACAAAATATATAAATAAAATCATTGTGTTCAATTAGTGGTCCACCTAAGTCTTGGGCTAGGGGGGGGGGGGGGGGGTCACATAGTCGTGGCTGAACCGATTGAAATGTTCACACAACTCCAGGGAATGTTTAAACGTTGATAAAATATGAAGAAATTGCATGTGAAATAGTACAAACAACAATTTTATTTTCCCATACAAACTGCTGATACCTGTCAAACCCCCTCCGATCGATGTCCCGTCCAATTCAAACGGGGATCGAAATTACGACGGCCTGAGCCGAGGTTCGAACTCCTAGTGGTGCCCTCAGCTCTGAGTTGGCCTTCAGCCGCTCCATAAGTCCTTCCTTTGGTTTGGAGTGCCATCTGCACTCGCCCCCTATCGTCCGGTGAAGCTGTAAAGGCCAGCTGCGGTCAACAGCATTAGAGTAGTCCGAAAAAAAAGGTGCGTTCAGAAATTTAATTACGTAACGAAACTTAAAAAAAATGACTTTTTTTATTTTGAGGCGGAACGGAGAACTATCTAACCCCGCGGGTTAGCTAGTTTAAGATAAAGTCAAATTTAAGTATTAGAGATGTCAATAGCAAGATATGGATCAATAAAAAAAATTACAGTGACTTGACGACAAGATCATTATAAAATGTAAACTATTACTAATCTGTATTTCGAAGGTCATCATTACATAATGTAATTAGAATATCATGTGATCTAATTAATAAAGAGATATAACATATCTTGAATCACTCATACAAGCCGATATATATCATACAGACGGACGGACACGTAACTGATTAACAAATGAATAACTCTAACATAGTGTCTTCTACAATAGTTTTAAACTAAGAAGATAGTATTTTTTCCAACTATTCTAAGGCTTTTGGCCGGTGGCCTTTCACAGTTTTACCAAACGATAGGGGGCGAGTGCAGATGGCAGTCCAAACCTGTAGAGGGCTTATGGAACGGCTGAAGGCCAACTCCCGCTTGACGGATACGACTTTAGTCTGAGGGCACCACTAGGGGTTCGAACTTTGGCTCAGGATGTCGCAATTTCAATCCCAGTTTTAAATAGACAGGGATCGATCGTCGACCGAGAGTAACCGTTGATTGTATTACATTGTGTGAGTGAGGTCGTCGTCTTTGCCGGCGAGGACGGTGTCGTGTACTATACTAAACAACCAACAGATGTAACATGACTATGTAATACATGTGTAGTGAAACATTCATATGAATATTTTAATCTATGCGAAGTAAGCCAAAAATCCTAGAGGAATAAATAAATTTTATATTTGAACTACCTTTTGCCCGCGCCTTCGCTCGCGTTAATTTATCCCCTTGGAGGTAGAATTAATCAAAATCTTTTCTTAGCGGATGCCTACGTCATAACATCTACCTGCATGCCAAATTTCAGCCCGATCCGTCCAGTGGTTTGGGCTGTGCGTTGATAGATCACTATGTCAGTCACCTTTGATATATATATATATATATATATATATATATATATATATATATATATATAGATAGATTAAAATAATATTAGTGCAAGTCTTACCCTGCGGCACAAATACGAAGGCGATATTGAAAGCAGCACTCAAGAAGAATCCACCAGAGAGAGTAGCCTTCCGTCCAATTCTGTCCAGGATCAGCACCGCCGTGAAGAAGCCAGGGATCTCGATGGCACACGTCAGTATGAAGTTCAGGTACATGTTCGTGCCGATGAGGGTGGTGGAATTGATGGACAGGCCGTAGTACACGAACGTGGTCGTGATCCACCAGATGGGAGTGGTGCAGACACGACGGAACAGCACGCGGGATTTTATTATGGTTTTAATTAAACCATTACCTTTAGCCTGTAACAAAGAAACTTGGATGGTAATTTTTGTATGTAATAACCGAATAAGCTGGAGTACTTGATGGTAAATGGTGGTGGAAAGGGCATTGTTAGTAATGTGGACTCATGACCCCATTACTGGCAATGTACCATGTCAGGTTGACCTCCACGCGGTTCCCCTGGAAACCATCGTGATAAATTCTTAGTAAATTTGTCACGATGTGATAACTGACCTGACCTCATGCTCATCTTATCATCCTTCACTGGTGCCCCTCTAGCGTAAACCGTTAGCGCCGGCAGGTGCACCATTCCATAATCATCCATAAAAAAAACCGTCGCCTATATAGTACAACCAAATACACATCATAAGGCAAGACGACTTTTTATTTCAACTATACATATAAATAAAATTGGAGTGTCTGTTTGTAATATTGAAATAACCGTTTTTTACTACATGCATATGAATATAAATACGGTACATACACCAAAATAACATTTTTTTACAATTTTTATCTGTCTGTCTTTCTGTTTGTTCCGGCTAATCTCTGAAATGAAATCAGATTTTGACGAGACTTTTTTTGGCGTTTAGATGATGTAGTAAGGAGTAACTTAGGCTACTTTTATTTTAAAAAAATACAGCTAGTCTTAATATATCAAAAAGTAATCATCATCAAAGGTAACTGACTGACATAGTGATCTATCAACGCACAGCCCAAACCACTGGACGGATCGGGCTGAAATTTGGCATGCAGGTAGATGTTATGACGTAGGCATCCGCTAAGAAAGGACTTTGATTAATTCTACCCCCAAGGGGGTAAAATAAAGAATGAAAGTTTGTCAATTTTAAACCGATCGGGCTGAGACTTTGCATGCATAAAACTACTATGACGTAGGTTTCCCCTAAGAAATGTTGAAAGAAATTTGTCCGGAACATTAGAAAGGTTAATTATGATGATGAATGTCTGACGGGTCAGTCAGTATAGGTACATACCAAAATGTTGAAAGAAATTTATCCGGAACATTAGAATAGAAAGGTTAATTATGATGATGAACGTCTGACCGGTCAGTCAGTATAGGTACACACCAAAATGTTGAAAGAAATTTATCCGAAACATTAGCAAGGTTAATTATGATGATGAAAGTCTGACCGGTCAGCCAGTATAGGTACATACCAAAATGTTGAAAGAAATTTTTCCGGAACATTAGCAAGGTTAATTGCGAATTCAACATTCAAGAGACACACGTCTGTACGTAAATGTATTAAAATCAAAATGTTTATGATGCTGATGGTACCTCAGAAGCTGGTGGCGAAGGTGGTGGATTCATCAGCGAATGCATGGACTTCTCGCTGATTTGCTTCTTATTGATCCTCGCTACTTTCTCCAACACCACTCTTGCTTTCTCGTACATCTTTTTAGAGAGCAGCCACCTCACACTCTCTGAGAGGAACCAGTAGTACGTGATAATGATGAAGCAGGGGATGTGGAGTGCCATGATCATGTACCGCCACGGCTGCACCAGCCAGGCTACGAGACCCAGGATCACTTGACCGACGGCAAACATTGAAGAGCAAGTGGCACTGGTCACTACACGGTACTTTGGGCCCACGAGTTCAGTTGCTGAAAATTTATTTATATATTTCGAAATTTTCAAATATAATGGTAATAATAATAATCGTGTACAATTCACACAGCGCCATCTAGTTCCAAGCTAAGCAGAGCTTGTGTTATGGGTACAAGACAACTGATATAAACACAGAGATATATTTTTTAACATATACATAGAAAACACCAAGACTGATACAAACAATCAAACATTTGTATTCATGAGTACAAAATTTGGACCTTGCGAGGAATCGAACCTGCGACCATTGGAAGTAAGGCGGTGTGCTAAACCACTGGACCACTGTGACCGTCATAGATAATAAATCTGATTACACATTAGACCCCGCACTAGGCGAACCTGTATCGCGGGAATCTATAAAGGAATCGCCAGATTTTATTAACCATTCCAATTTAGAGAGTGAGAATAGATTCGACATATCATAAGAGTCTGTAATAGACCCACGCGAATAATGATATTTTAATTTGAATTGATATAAACAGAAATTATTATACTTAACAAACTGTATTATTTTGTAACAGAAATAAAAAAAGGTAAGTGGTAACAGAGGGTAACCAGCATTACAATTTAGACTGTGACGTGTTCTCCTCCTGTTATCGTGTTATCCTCCCTGAGGCCTAAATTGTCATATTCTTGTACCCTATAACTTCATCATTGCGTTACCTTTATCCCATTATTTGGGGTCGACGCAGTCTATCAATCTTCCACTGATCCCTATCACCCGTCATATCTGTGCATACTCTCCTTTTATTCGTATCATCATTTCACAATCCATCCACCTATTTTTCGGGCGTCCTCTCCCTTTCCATCCATCCACGTTTATATTACACTTTTCTTAATACATGATCCTCGTTCCTCCACATAACATGTCCATACCAGCTCAATCTGTTACCTCGCAACTTGTCTATAACTGGCGCAACTTTCAAACTTCCTCGTATATACACATTCCTTATACTGTCATAGAAATAGAAATAGAAATAGAAATAATCTTTATTCAAATAAACTCATTACAAGCACTTTTGAATAGTCATATTTTGATTCTACCACTCATTCGGAATGCAGATTCATCACAAGAAGAATGAGCAAGAAACTTGTGTGTTGCTCTTTTTAATAGATGTTTTTTTTTATAGAAATAATTACAGTATAACAAATAAGAGGCATGCGATAATCAACATAGAAGTCGCTACGCACTCATTATTAATGTAATCAGATAATATTGTCAGTGCTATGGATTTAAAGTTTTTCTATAAAATACTTACTACATACTTGGTTACTCCACACATCCATCGCAACAGTCGCCACGCCTTTTATCCCTCTTCTATACAGCTCAACATTCAGATCCATACAAAATACAGGCTATAACATCACTACAATAATTCAACCATCAAACCATTCAGTTTATAATGTTAATTATTTCGATTAAGAAATTTTGGAAATCATGGAGTATCAAGCAGTGATACAAAATCTCCATTTTCCAATTATTTGTAACGTAATGACGAAAAAACAGAATTTAACTGTTATTTGTTTAATAAATTAATGCTATTTTCCTTTAAAATTAAAACAATTGTTAAAGAAACAAGAATAAAAAATCCATGCACGTAGGGTAAATTTGAAGTTAATAGGAACTCCTGTGTATAATAGAATAGAATAGAAAATTCTTAATTCAAATTAACTTATATTTGAACACTTTTGAATAGACAACTTAGTTTTGTAATCTACTGCTCATTCGGAAAGATATCTCATAACAAGAAGAACGAGTAGGAAACTTATGTGTTGCTCTTTTAAATAATTGTTGTACCTTTACATTTTAAAGTCGAAATGTGTGAATACAAACTTCTAACCAGCGCTATATTCACACGTTTCGACTTGTAAATGTAAACTTACAAGGATTATTTAAAAGAGCAACACACAAGTTTCCTGCTCGTTCTTCTTGTTATGAGACAGCTTTCCGAATGAGCGGTAGATTAAAAGAATAAGTTGTCTATTCAAAACTGCTCAATATTAAGTTTATTTGAATAAATTATTTTCTATTCTATTCTATTCTACTAATACATTAGAGTCAAAACATTAAATACACAATGAACTGGTTAAGCAACTAAATAAATATTCAAAATGAAATGATCATATTAAGTAAAGTTTATAATAAAATTACCAAAAATATATGCAGAACTGTACGTCCCGGCTCCTACTGTGGTCTGCAATAGGTGGAGGGCCAGGTACATGGGGTAGTTGACAGAGAAGGCACGAATGAAGCCCACCAGGCCCAAGTTGAAGACGCTGAGAATGAGTGCCACCCTGCGGCCCCAGCGATCCGAAATGAACCCTATGATGGGCAGGACCAGAAGGGTGCCGACGCTGTTGAGAGTACCAACTAGCACCCTCAACCCATCTTGGCAGCCAAGGTCAAACTGCAAACAAATATATTTCAGGTTCGATTCCTCGCACGGTACAATCTTTTGTATTCATGAGTATGATCGGTTGTATTGGTCTAAGTGTTTTCTATGATATCTATACATATAAATAAAATTGGAGTGTCTGTGTGTAATATTGAAATAACCGATTTTTGCTACATGTATATAAATATAAATACATTACAGTACAGTATATATACCAAAATGACATTTCAATTTCTGTCAGTCTGTCTGTCGGTTCCGGCTAATCTCTGAAATGGCTGGACCAATTTTGACGATTTTTAGCATGTAGCTGATGTAATAGGGAATAACTTAGGCTACTTTTATTTTAGAAAAGTAAAATAAAATTCCACGCGGATGAAGTCTCGAGTCGTTATAATAAATAAAATCGCTGTGTGTAATATGGAACAACTGTTTTTTGCTACATGCATATGAATATAAATACGTCATATACTAAAATAGTTTCATTTACCGATTTTTGGCATGTAACTGATGTATGGGGAGTAACTTAGGTTACTTTAAAATAAAGTTAAATTCCACGCGGACGAAGTCGCGGAAAAGCTGCTACAATATACATCGTCTCTACCATCAACATAGTATCATTTACTCGCAACAATGAGCTTACTTGGCTAGGCTTATGCTACTTTGCTTCTTAAAATGCGATGAATTCGCTGTTATAAAAAAATTAAAACGGTAGAGTCACTTACATCGTACACTACAGAATTGTCTCTCTCGTAAACAAACTCGTCACATTCTTGAGTTTCGTTCTGATCAAACATATAATCAGGGCAGTAGTTCAAGGATCCGTTAGAGGCCAAAGGCACGAATCGTTCGCATCTGGTTCCATTAGGCATGGCAGCTGATATCCTATAATCATCATATATAGCATTTTCTGAGGTTTCACCACACTCTGGGATAATGCATCTGAAAGTACAAGTACATCTTCATATTAGTAAATAGTTAGGCAAAAACTTTGTGCCCCTTTTTACGAAAATTGATCGGATTTAGTATTCATTATATAATATAAAACAAAGTCGCTGTCGCTGTCTGACCCTATGCAATACCGTCTTTACCATAAGGGCACACGAGGCCCATGCCCAGGGCCCCCGAAGGCCTGACAATATTTCTCACACATTTATTCTCAAAAGATTTTTGTCAGGCACACTACTTTTTTCACAAATCAGTAATGTTATCAGAAGGTATTTACAAGGCATATACTACGTCATTATACCGATTACTTCGCCTATTCCTATGTTCTTATACCTAATGAGCTTTTTATTTTTATTTTCCAAAAGACGGCTGTCTGTCTGTTTAAATCTTTAAAACTACGCAACGGATTTTGAAGCGGTTTTTTTAAGAGACAGAGTGATTCTAGAGGAAAGTTTATGTGTATAATACATGTACACTCGGGCGAAAGCAGTTCGATTGCAATTTTTTTTAATGAATTTAATAAAATTTTCAAATTCAAAATATCTTTATTCATGTAGGTCTATTACAGACTCTTATGATTTGGCAAATCTACCGTCAGTTCGGAATGATTTCGAGATGAGAAGAGATCGTAATCATATAAAAATCATTTATTTAAATTCTTGTAGGATATTTTAAAAATCTAATCAATAAATCATCTATTCTTGCAGCTTATGAACGTAAATTTTTTTATATTATAATTTTTTCCCTACCGTCCAGTTCAGTATGTAGATCCAATAGAATAGAATAGAAAATCATTTATTCAAATAAACTTAATTTAAGCACTTTTGAATAGTCATAACATTTTTTTATCTACGCTCGTTCGGAAAGCTGTCTCATCACAAGAAGAACGAGCAAGAAACTTGTGTGTCGCTCTTTTAAATAATCCTTGTAAGTTTAATTGTGAAGAACTGGCAAGAAACTCAACTGATTATATTTTATAAAGCCAGTGTGTTTTATAATGGACACTTACCTGTGGGGTATAGCGGCAGCCGAAAATATGTATTCACTCATAAACGCCGACATAATCATAGGGATCGAGATCAGACAGATCATGCGGGCCTGGAACCATCCGAATTGGCCCAGCTCATTGATCAGCAAGTCATCTAAATCTATGGGCTTCTCGGACACACTGCCTTTCCTGCTGGTCTTGATACTTTCAGCCACACTGGGCCTCTTCGCCTCTATACCATCTTGAGTTTCAGCCATCGAGTTTGGTTTGTCTTCACGCGTCCGAGGACATAGAGGTAGAAGCCACTTCTGTTTGCTGTTTACAATATACTAACAATGAAATGTCTGATAAGGTACTTTTAATAATTGATAATAATTGTAATCACTGCGTATTGTTCTGATGGACTGTGAAAACCACTACTATATATGTACGATTAAAATATATACTATAAAAACAATAACATAATATCTCAGAATAATTCACACATCCAGGGCCGTCTTTCAACTATTAGAGTATATAATAATTTAATCTATACATATAAATAAAATTATAGCGTCTGTTTGTAATATTGAAATAACAGTTTTTTACTACATGCATATGAATATAAATACCGTATATAAACCAAAATAACATTAAGATTTTCATAGTATTTTTATTGCCAGATAGCTGATGTAATAAGGAGTAACTTAGACTACTTTTATTTTAGATCGTTTGTTAATATAAATCTTTTATTTTAAAAATATTAAGTTAAATTTCACGCGCACGACGTCGCGGGTACAGCTAGTGTACAAATTATAAACAAATAACACGTATTTTCGTAGAATTTTGTATGTATTTCAATATCAGTAGCAATATTAGTAATAAAAGTAATTATTTAAACTTTATTATACAATAAAATGTAGTACAAAGTGCAGACTGATGAACGTACGTATATCCTTCAACAATCTACCTTCGGAAGATGTAGTACAAAGTGCAGACTGATTGAACATGCATTCTTCAACAATCTACCTTCGGAAGATGTAGTATAAAGTGCAGACTGATGAACGTACGTGCATCCTTCAACAATCTACCTTCGGAAGATGTAGTACAAAGTGCAGACTGATGAACATGCATTCTTCAACAATCTACCTTCGGAAGATGTAGTACAAAGTGCAGACTGATGAACGTGCATTCTCACCAATCTACCTTCGGAAGATGTAGTACAAAGTGCAGACTGATGAACGTGCTTTCTTCAACAATCTACCTTCGGAAGATGTAGTACAAAGTGTAGACTGATGAACGTGCATTCTCACCAATCTACCTTCGGAAGATGTAGTACAAAGTGCAGACTGATGAACGTGCATTCTCACCAATCTACCTTCGGAAGATGTAGTACAAAGTGCAGACTGATGAACGTGCATTCTTCACCAATCTACCTTCGGAAGATGTAGTACAAAGTGCAGACTGATGAACGTGCATTCTTCTCTAATCTACCTTCGGAAAGTATGGATAAGGAAGTTGTAGACGATGATATACTATATGGAAACTGTTATATTAAATATGTATATTTAATAACATTATATTTATTTCTAGCACTATTATTACCAACTGCTCCTTGCTTGTCACGTTGTATTGATTTTGGGATGAGACCAACCCTACTCGTTCATATTGTCTCTAATTAATTTAATTACACTCACTTCAAGATATACATTATTTATATTGCCACAAGACTTAAGCGAGTATGAACAGTTTTTTGAAGGATTTTTCCTTCTTAAGTCGATATGCGTATCTGGAAATAGATATTTATTGATTTACGTTTATCTATATATATAAAAAATATGTACCATATTTTACGAAAGCTGCGCGTATGGAGGAATATGAAATTTCGCACACTTATAATTTATATCGACAGCCTCGATGGTCTAGTGGTTTACCACGCCGCTTTACTATCCGATGGTCGTGGGTTCGATTCCTCGCACGGAACAAACATTTGTATTCATGTTCATATGGGTGTTTTCTATGTATAATGTATTTATTTACAAAAAAAAATTATCCAGATATACATTATTTATATTGCCCAAGACTGCTTAGCTTGGGACTAGATGGCGCTGTGTGAATTGTCATGAGATATTATTATTATTATATAGAGAAGGTAAGAAGTGCACAATACTAGTACGTTTTTAAACTATACATTAAAATACATTAAACCAATAAAAAAACTGTACACATACTACCATACATTTGACACACACATGGACGTCTTTTGTTTATATATTGTTTCTGGTTCAAAGATTATTTTTATTACCTGTTTAATCATATTTATAACTAGCTACTTGCCCCGACTTCGCGCAGGTACATGCATTATACAAATAAACCTTCCTCATTCATCACTGTATTTATTTAAAAAATCCGCTTCAAATCCGTTGCGTAGCAAACATTTGTATACATTGGGACGGACAGATTGTTTGACAGCGACTTTGTTGTATACTATGTAATTATTGTGCAAAGCCTATTTATTACTCAATAAACGATTATTTAAATGGCAAACTCGCATGGCAATAAATAGTTGTTTATGCACACGATTTTTATTTAATGTCAGATATAGACGCCTGTTGGAAATTAAAACCTCCTATTATTAGATTACAATAGTGACGATAATAAATACACAGAGTTGTATAGTACATATATTTATAATAATGGAATATTGACATGATCATATGTGCTGATTAATAATGAATTGTTTAATTACAAATAGAAGTAATGTATTGACACACACATGAGTTAGTTTCATATTTTTTTTATATATTGAAGCTGGATCTGTAAACGATATTTAGAATAATAGTTCTTGTCTTGACCACAGTTCTATTAAGACGTACCAATAAAGTATTACGAATATAAAATACGTTTTAATTTCTGGTAATAGTTCGAAAAATTTTGCTATTCCTTGTTAATATTTTTTTATAGTCATATACTTTAAAATGTTCTTACTGGCACTGTTCTTCTTTTGTTTTTTTCATTGCATTTGATCTTTTCACAATATACGAAAGCAAATTAATTTCATTTATCCACAATCACCTAGTTTTATTACAATCACCATAATAACCAACTGAGAAATCCATAATACTCCCCAACAATACCTATATCAGTATATAAACCAGCATAACAATAAAAATAAATAAAAGATGTACAGTTGAGTTTCTTGCCGGTTATTCTCAATTGGATCTTTTTACCGAACTATATAGATAGGTAAAAATATGAATACATAAAATTTGACATTCATAAGCGGCTAAAATGTCCTACATGAATAAATGACAGCATAATCATCATTACATGGTATAAAACAAAGTTGCTGTCGAGCAACACACAAGTTTCTTGCTTATTCTTCTTGTGATGAATCTGCATTCCGAATCGCTTATTCGGAATGCAGATTCATCACAAGAATAAAAGTAGAATAAAAAAACTTGAGAATGCTCTTTTGAATAAAGATTATTTCTATTTCGCTGTCGCTGTCTGTCCGTCCCTGTATATGCTTAAATCTTTAAAACTACACAACGGATTTTGAAGCGGTTTTCTTTAATAGATAGAGTGATTCAAGAGGAAGGTTTATATATATAATACATGTACACCCGTGCGAAGTAGCGAGTACCTAGTTAACAATAACTAAACACTTGATGTCAATAAAACATATATATTACCGTATTAATCCTGCACTTTTGTATGTCCGAACACTCACTCACTACTGGGCTATATACAAAGTGACGACTCAAGACGAGTTATCTTTATGAATATATGTATAAAGCAGAAAGATTTGTCTGTATGAACGCTTGTATTCGTAGAATCTTATTAATATTATAAACGCAAAATTTCTGAGTATGGATGGATGTTTGGTATTCTTTCCACCAAAGATCTCCACGACGATCGGTCCTGCGCTGCTCGCATCCAGCGCTTCCAGCGATCCTGACCAGATCGGTTCACCTTGCTGGAGGCCTTCCCATGCTTCTTCCGGTTAAATACCTAAAATATAAAAATATATTATGATGCGATGAGTGGAGAAGCGACGGTGGCCGCTGTTTGTTTTAATTTAGACTGAGAATGAAACCGCAGTGCACAACGAGTATAACATATAGATCCATATATTAGTTGCAGTGAAGTGGCCGTTTCCACCATTCTTTGAGATTTCTTATCAGCTTTATCTCAACGATCTTTGATGTCGGTTATCATGACGTTTACAGTTCGCTGTCAGTTACTATTTTCTCTTAACCTCGATTTAAAACCGATATTCGAATGGTCGAATTCTTCTGTTTTCAATTAAGTTTATAATCGATATTCGTATTCTTCTGTTTTCAATTAACTTTTCATTGAAATATACCAACTAGAAGATTTAGTATATATTTTATTCGATTTATAAGTATATTCAATTAAGTTTATAATCGATATTCGTATTCTTCTGTTTTCAATTAACTTTTCATTGAAATATACCAACTAGAAGGTTTAGTACCTATATATTTTATTCGATTTATAAGTATATTACCACATTTTATGCAATAAAATTTCTTTTCATTTCATTTCGTTTCGTTTCGTTTCGTTTCGTTTCGTTTCGTTTCGTTTAGTTTAGTTTAGTTTAGTTTAGTTTCGTTTCGTTTAGTTTCGTTTCGTTTCGTTTCATTTTATTTCATATACTATGTGCGCTGTAGGATGGTGAGGCTGACAGTTGCCTGTATTTGCATTCTGGCTGGGTTAAATTTAAATTACTACAATTTTATTAATGATTTAATATATTACGAATGTGGTACAGCTGAAATACTGACTGTGTTCTGAAGAATTGTTAGACATGATGCCCACGGCTACCTTTTACCACCGCACCGCTCGCCATCGACAGGGAATTCATCCCCACATGCAGGAACTTAAGTGGTCTCGGACAGTGCGGTTTCAGAGGAGCTTCCTCCCGCAAACACGTAGATTATGGAATGAACGACCTGCCGAGATATTTTTCCGGAATCGAACCCGCGAATATCGGAAGTAAGGCGGTGTGCTAAACCACTACACCACCAGGCCTAATAATTGACTAATATTATTAACTTGTACTTAAACTGTACTTCCTTTTATTTTAATTTCGTTTCGTTTCGTAATTGACGACCTCGGTGGTCTAGCGGTCTAGTCTACCGCTTTACGACCGATGGTCGCGGGTTCGATTCCTCGCACGGCACAAACATTTGTATTCATGAGTATGATTGTTTGTATCGGTCTGGGTATTTTCTATGTATAATATGTATGTATTTACGAAAAAAAAAAATATCTATGTATTTGTATCAGTTGTCTAGGACCCATAACACAAGCTTTAGCTAGCTTAACTTGGGTCTAGATGGCGCTGTGTGAATTGTCCTGAGATTATTATTATTATTATTATTATTATATATTAAAATAGCTGACACCGGGATGTGATAACCTCTATAGTTATGATATACAGACGGAACAAATGATAATGTAAGTAAACCGTTTCGTTAATTTCTTTCTTAGTTTATAATATTTATTTGTTTTTATTGCGTGGTCTTCATTATCATCATCATCACTACATAGTATAAAACAAAGTCGCTAACGCTGTCTGTTAATATTGCTTAAATCTTTAAAACTACGCAACGGATTTTGAAGCGGTTTTTTTTAATAGATAGAGTGATTCTAGAGGAAGGTTTATATGTATAATACATGTACACCCGGGCGAAGACGGGGCGAGTAGCTAGTTAGGTATATTTGTTTCCCACACAGTGATCTCCACTAGTATTACTCGTTAAGTTTTTTTTCGAATAAAAGAATGAGTTCTGGATTATGAAACATATAGTATAGGCATCCTACTTATATATATATATATATATATATATATATATATAAATATCCCCTTGGGCACTTTGTGGCTCAGACGTGCCGTATAGGTAGTTTTTTGTTGATCCTTTTTCACTTGTTGATCCGGAGGCCTTTTGTTGATCTAATGCCAGATGACCATATGTAAATGTTGCTCCGTTTTGAGCCACAACTGTCACGACGAGTAATAATAATAATTAAGCGATTTATACACGATTTTATACAAATCCACCTTTTTGGCATACGACCACTTCTTGATCCAATTCAAACGGGCCAATCAGGGTGCAGCATTTGCCAAGGGCTTCCTCATTGGCACGTTTGGGCTACTACATTATGGCTACAGTAACTTAATAATGTCTAGCTAGTATTTCAAGAATAATAGTCTATCTAATCTAAATATTTATAGAAATCAGTCTGGACTCCAGATCAAACCTCAATACTTATTATTTTTTGGACGGGAATCTTTTCTTTTGTAACAAAGTTACTGAGCGAATAAAGAGAAGACGCAACGGCGGATCCAGGGGGGAGCGTCATGGAGGTCATGGGAGTCATGGGGGCGTCATGACTCTCCCCCCCCCCCCCTTAGCCCAGAACTTAGGTAGATCAACAATTGAACTAAAAAATAATGAAACAGCAAATTTTTTTGCACGATCGGAGTGTTGGTGCAGTAGTATTAATTATAATTAAACATGGTTACTTAATATATAACAGTTAAAGTACTATAACACTAAAAGCAAAATAGGTATTTTCAAAATACTTTTTCAAAATAAATTACCCTTTGAGTTTTTGTCCAAACCTCAGATATTTTATTTATTTTAGGTATATCAATCAATACATAGTATAGCATAGTACAGTCTGTCTGTCTGTCTGTTTGTTCCGGCTAATCTCTGAAATAGCTGGACCGATTTTGACGGGACTTTTTTTGGCAAGTAGCTGATGTAATAAGGAGTAACTTACGCTACTGTTATTTTAGAAAAATAAAGTAAAATTTCACGCGGACGAAGTCGCTGGGGCCAGCTAGTCTATAGATATACCGAGATTTAATGTTTAAGTTGCTATTATGTTATTGACAAAATTTTACTGTAATGTTTACTACAATAATACAGATTCATGCATATGAATATATATAAGGTACATATACCAAAATAACTATTTTTATAATTTTAGTCTGTCTGTCTGTCGGTCTGTTTGTTCCGGCTAATCTCTGAAATGGCTGGACCGATTTTGACGGTACTTTTTTTTGGCAGGTAGCTGATTTATAAGGAGTAACTTAGGTTACTTTTATTTTAGAAAAATAAAGTTAAATTCCACGCGGACGAAGTCGCGGGAACACCTTGTTTTTAATAAAAACATCTTTTTTGTGGTACTTGAGAATGGCCTGTTGTTTGTAATATTGAAATAACCGTTTTTTACTACTTGCATATGAATATAAATACGGTACATACACCAAAATAACATATTTTACAATTTTTGTCTGTCTGTCTGTTTGTTCCGGCTAATCTCTGAAATGGCTGGACTGATTTTGACGGGACTTTTTTTGGCAGGTAGCTGATGTAATAAGGAGTAACTTAGGCTACTTTTATTTTAGAAAAATAAAGTTAAAAACCACGTGGACGAAGTCGCGGGAACAGCTAGTGTATAATATATTAGAGATACCTACGTGTTTTTTTATTGATGACTAGCTGTACACGGGATTTCGTCCGTGTTGAATTTAACATTTTTCTAAAATATAAGAAGTTAAATACGCGGACGAAGTCGCGTGTACAGCTAGTTGTCGGTAGTCTAGCGATTTAGCTAGCACACTGCTTTGATTCCTGCTTGGTGGTCGAGGGTTCGATTCCTCGCACGCTGCAAACATTTGTATTCATGAGTATGATTGTTTGTAACGGTCTGGGTGTTTTCTATGTATAGATAATATATATGTATTTACGAAAAAAAAATCTTTGTATTTATATCAGTACCCATAACATACGTATACATATACATTACGTACGTACTTATTAAACTATTAACTTATTATTAAATTATTAACTATTTATACTGTTTTAAATGTGATGCGTTCATTATTTATATTTCCTTTGAATTAAAGACAAATGTATATACATATATATATTTATATACACTTGCACACTTAGTTGATCCAGCCACGATCCGTAGATATTGCTGATCCACTGTCTCTCTCTTTCTATCACTATCTTTGTATTCTAATATGCGATGTTGCCGTTCCGGCCGAGACCATGCGTTGTTGCCAAATGTATTCGTCGATAGTAGTAGATACTTATACTCGATATATATTTTTTCAACAATTTCCTGCAATAGTGAATCCGTATCGGCATTTTTTTTAAATGCACAAAGATTTTTTGGCTCTGAATATATTTAAAAATCATTTACTTGTGTGTTGATGAATTTATATACTAGTACATGAAGTACCTAATACTTGTTTTGATTTGAATAGGTAGCGATATTATGAATTTATTATACGTAATCTAAAGATTTTGACGAAATAAAAGTAATTAGTTATCTGTTAACCTTGACTTCATGCTGGCACCAGTATTATCAGATGATGAACATACTCTTCGAAAAGTTACAGCAGAAATATCGTGTTTGGACTCATTAGATAGGTCTCGATGAATAGAGTTTAAAAAACTTAAAATAAATGGTAAATTAGAAATAATGTATAAAAACCCCTTACGTAAAATTCAACCACTTTAAACTTAATAATAATAATAATTAGGAAAAGAGAAAAGCTATACATGCACTGAAAGTAATTGATGCCTTCCACACAATATTTTCAGTATTAAACAACTCTGTTTGTTCAGTAAAAGTGTAAATACACTGGTAACCTTTAATCATATTTTATATGCAAACATTACATATACAAACACTAAAGTTTTATTTCAGAATAGCCAGTAGTTTTCA